AACTCGAACGCTATTCTGATTAATTTCTATTTCGTAATTTCGGTTGTACCAATTCAAAGTTTCCTGGAACGCTATAGTTGGGTTCATTAAATTAAGGACATCTTTTAAGCAATTGATAATACTCAACAAACCAGTACGCAAACAAAGTCTGGTTTATTTCATCAAGTTTCTCGTCAAACCCGCAATGTTCCCTGTTTCCAATTTCCACACCAACAAATTGATGTCGTTTCAGATGAGACTCACATTTGTTAAAATTGAAATTACGTTACCTGAGTCATTACGATGCATGCGTTGTGAAACAAGTTAACGTATTTCTGAATTAAATTAGTTGCATTATGTGAATTATTAAAAATTATGATTGTACAATAATTTCTTGAAAATTGCGAACCACTCTCTGCATATTACTCTCCAGGATAATAGATGAAAGAGGTCAGAGTAATTGATAGATGGCTTTTGCACGAGTCAGGGATCGCTCTTTTTTATCTGAGTGATTAGCGACAAAGTCGTTTGATGAAAAAGCGTACGCATCAGATCCTCTTTTTGTCCCTCTGCCGCGTTGCGCCCCTGGAAACGCCGGGTAATACGTTTCCCTTTAGGATAAGCCCGAGTGGCTGCTAAATCGTGGCCTGCATGGCTTTTGCAGCGACGACTTGTTCTTGTTGCCGCCTGAGAGATTCAGATTATCCTACTTGTCGAAACAGGCAGTTGTCCCGTGCACGGGTGAAGCGAATCTCGAACGAAATTGACTTGCTACCACACGCGGATGATAAATTCCAGACAGCGAGTCTCGAGGAAATATTGTTTCAGCGTGGCTGGTAATGTGAAAAGCGAGGTGTTAATTTCTTTTTCTATATCATTACAACTATTTATCTGAATTTATTATCAGGCTTTTATATTAAATGTCAATAAATCGAGTACGAGTTTCACATATATTAATATTAAATCACATTAACAGTGAAATAACAAAAAACTGCACGTATTAAATCTTCCAACGTTCCGATATTGGGACCGGTTTTTTCTTTGATAACGAAAATCTGCAATTGCCTATCGAGGGACCGCGTAACTCTTTAGAAATCACGTCACTCTGCCCATCTAAAATTGTATCTGCGCCGGATATCCGAAGCCCGAAACATGAAGCCGCTCGGGCTAACAGACAGAGGGACCGGCTTTTACAGACGAAACGTTAACAAAGGATGACTGGCATCGCAAATCGAAGGGAAAAAAAAAGGGAAATGAGAAAAAAACAGGTAGAACGGACAGGTATCGTAACTCGACGTGGATAAGAAAGGGGGGGGGGGATCCTCTTTTGGGACGAAATTAGTTTAGCGGAGATGCGTCGGCCGGATAGCGAGATTCCGAAACCGGAAGGGGATACACAGAATTGCGAAAGGGAGAAGAGTCGCGTAGTGGCGGAGGAGAAAAAATGGGTCAATTGCTCTTTTGCATTTCCCAGTTTCCCAATGGGTGGGGGAGCATCGATCTGTTCGCTGGTGAATCCATTGTTTTCGAACTATTTCTCCCGAGAAACGCATCGCGAATAAGCATAACAGCCGCGGATAGAAAGTACCCCGCGTCTTGTGCGGATGCCATCCCTTTCTATGAACGGGCGAACGAGATTGATGATTCGCTTCGGATCGCGTTCCGTCGAAGATAACCGACGAGATACGCTGGAGAACGACGCTTCCACTTTAATGAGAAATTGGTTCGCATTCTCCGCAAATGTCGCTTTTCTTCTCCCGTCCCGTCGCTTTAATTTGTTAATGGACGCGGGATTTCGAATTTCGAGTTACCGAGAATTCCGAGCCGTGACGCCGCGACGGCACGACGTTTAATTTTGAGTTACGCGGAACGCGAACGGAATTTAATGTTTCCGTATAATTAGCAGAACGCAAACCTGGACAATACCCCGCAAATTCCCTGTCTTAAACTATATACCTATAATATTAATTAATTGAAATCTATAAGCATGCCGTTGTCTGATAACATTTCAACGGAGCTACGCGTATCCAATACAATTAGTATTACACACTATTATTAGTATTCGTCTGATAACGTTATTAAAGAATGAACAAATAATTCTGTTAATTATTTGTAAAAAGATGAAACTCCCGTTGTACAAGACTTCGTTAAAAGCGTGTATGCTAAGAGATTAATTAGTTAATTAAATTTGTTTGCTATGATGTAATTTACGCAGAATTATTCTATTATTGAATTATTAACTGAAGGTAACACGATTCAGGGAATCGCGTATGGAAGAGAGATTTACAAATATCTTCGCCGAGTTGTTAACGTAATTGTATGAACAACCGATTGATGAATTCAGCGAACGTCATAAATCATGATAATCCTTGCCTGAACGGCAGCCGCGGGCTTAATAACAATAACATCGATACAGAGGATGAAATTTAACATAATGGAGCATAGCGTCGAAACTAGGATAAGTGCTCGCCGATTTAACGATGAAGAACATCGGTTATTACTTCTCGAGTGGCGTACACAATATGTGCCAATCGAAATTTATATTGAATGCCGTCAATCGATTGAAATAGACTCGCATGTGCATCCGAGCACACGTCTAATGAATCTTATTAACGGATTCATACGGAACATCTGCTCGCTCTTTACATAATGTGAAATGCGATTGAATATTGGATGAAACATGCCTTTGAAGAGATAGCTAATGAGAATTATTATTGCAGTGAGTAGGGAAAATAAAAATAATATGAGAAGAAATCATGGTCTTCCAATACTCAATCAAAATCAATCCTGTACTACTCAAGCTTTAAATTCACTAAAATCTTCACTGAAACCGGACCTAATATCGATCAAACTATACTATACTCAATTCTGAACGATATTTAAGAAACGTAAATAACAGAAAATAGTTGATCTTTGGTTCAATATTTCTCCAGGGTGTTTGACTAATGGTTGACTTATGCTACTGAATTGTCGTCTTAACCAAGATTGACTTGAACTACTTAAATCCTTGTTCTAGTTAGTTCCGAACTGAAAAATTAAATAAAGCCAGTATTTTTAGAATAAATTAGTATTTGACAATTTAATCTACTTTTAATTTTATTTATTTAATTGTATTTAGTATATTTATTTATTTTATGTTATTTTATTTAGTTGTATGTAAATTATATGCTGTATATTTCTCTAAGAATTGGATAATTGAAATAGGATATGATTCGTACAAGGCATCATATAATTAATAACGAAGGGAAGCTATTTCTTACCATAAGAGAAGCCGACGTAAGGTACTGTAAACGGAGAAGGCGTAGGTGTGCTGTTTTAACTGCAACCATTCTATGCGAGCCAACTTATAGTACTTCGGTTAAGTTTAAAAATGTGAAGAAAACTTCGAAGCTCCGGTTGTTGTGAGTGAAGAATCAAAAGGAGAAAATAAGTGGAGCGTGAGAGTAATTGACAGGGCAATTAAGGGTAGTTAGACGGTTGCGCGAAAATCTTAGCTAGTTCAATTGCACTGGCAACTCGTTGAAAAATGTTCGACGAAAGAACTTACGAAGTAGTAAACTATTTATATCGACACGTACAAGCTACCTGTTCCATTTATTAAAACAATATCTGAAGGATGCGAAAAATCGACGATCTAACATTTTGCTGTTAGAACAATTTTATTTAATTTTTATACGAGAACATTTGCTTGGAAAGGAAATATCGAAGCGTTGTGATTATTTAGTATCTCGACGGTTAAATTCGCATGGGCGATCGCGAGAAGAGATCGGTCGTTTGCCCGAGATCGAACTCGATAATTGAACGGTTAATTCAATCGTGGGACGATAAGACGACAGAATTGATTTCAATCGGGCCAATTTTCTGCTTTTGTAGCCACGTCGACCGGATTATATTCGTCGTTTCTGTCGCTATGCATCCGTGGATTTCCGTTTCGGTCGTAGTCTGGTCTGTCGCGCGATCCAAGGGAAATCAATAGCCTCGTGAAACTTGGAACTGGATTAATAATTATTCGCGAGCTAACGTCATTACTAATTACCGAATGCCATGGAATGAGAATCATTAATACTTTGTCAATTAAAATTAGGTTCTTAGAGTACGTCCTACGCAAATGAAATAGTATATAAATAGAAATCCTTTATTCTATTATAAAACTCTAAATTGGAATGGGACTACATTGTTTTAAATTAATAGTATTCAATTTCGTATATACGTAAATATTCATGTAAAAAGGTCAGCAGACAAATATAATAAATCATTTATACTAATGAATAGCGATATTTGAAATGGATATTATCTATTATACACTTCAGTCTCTGTACGTTGACGAAAATAGTTTGCATTTAACTAATTAATTATGTGAACATGAATACAAGCGATCGTAGGACTGTCAAAGAATTAATCTAATTATGTTCCTCGAGACAAGACCGAACATATCGATTACGTTAATCAACAATTAATGTACCTCAATCTCTACTAGTAAAGTAAACTTTGAACGTAAATTTTGAACTGTTTGTACAGTTCTCGACGAGTTCATTAACGTGTAGCACAGTCATATATATTCTCTAACATGCTATTCACATAGCATTGACTTCACTCATAGTTCATTAACCCCTTCCGGTAAGAGTCTAGCTCGTCATTTGGTTTTATTATTAAATCGTACCGGAAGGGGTTAATATTATTTTACTTCCGGTACGATTTAATAATAAGGGGTTAATATTATTTTACTTTCCGCTCGATCTCTCCGCCTGGTGAAGGAAGAGGACCGGGTGACGCGTGAGGCGACGCGGATCACCCTGCTCGGCGTCGGCGTCGCGTACGCGACTGTGTACAGAGACGTCGCGACGCTCTGGGACCGCGGCGCTCGGTATCATTCGCAGGAGCGCCACGGCGCGGCGTCAGCATCGGTACCCGACTTCGAAAGCTCGGAGTAGTCGTAGTCAGTAGTAGTGGCCCGTTCGTTCTCGCGACGACGGAGCACCGCGCCGCGCCGCCCCCTTTCGAGCCCTCTCGACCGGCGTCGTACGCGCCACTCGTCGCGCGGCGCCGCGACGCGTCTCGTCTCCGGCTACCCGTCGTTCGCGTCACCCACGGTTCGCGCTTTGGATCACTGCGGGACGACGAGCTGCAGAGCCGCGGCGGCGGGCGCGCTCGAATGCCGACGCTCTCTGTTTATGAGAGCCGTCCCGTCGCGACCGGCTGACGATCCCGGCCGGCGGCAATTTCGACCGCGGATCGGTCTAGTGCGCGCGCGAACGCGCCGACCTGCACGCAGGAGGCGAAGGAAAAAGTTATCCGCGCGAACGAGAGATTCGTGCCAGTTGAAAGTTTTTAATAAATTGTGACGAGATCGGCTCGCGTTCCGAGCACGTGTTAACGTTTGGATCGGTTTTGGGGCGAGAATGTGGACGTGGACCAGCGTCCGTTGGATGGTGTAAGTAGCAAACGGTGATGAGTCAGGAAACTTATTCCATGAGGATTCGAGCTGATCGCGTCGATGGATTATCTTTCTACTCGATGTGTCGTCTGCTTACATTGTGACCCGACGGTGATGATTTGTTAGTGAAAAACAAATCGCTAGAATTGTTGACGTGACGTTTGACGAGGTGATTGAAAACTGCTACTCTCTGTCTCTTTACGCTAACGCCGCGATACCATTCTGTGGATTCATGGGCGAGAGAACTCGTCCTTCTTTCTCATTGCCCTTTATTTGTCTTTAAACTCGCAACGCTATTGGAAGTCGGGTTGGCTCGGGGTTAAACGAGGGAAACGGATTGACACGAGGCGTTATTAAACTGAGCAAAACACGCGGCCTGACTGAGGGAGGAAGGGTACGCGGACTCGCAGAAATTCCGGAACTGTTATTGCCGCGAGATTACAGTTACGACCGATTCCGGGTGTTGTCAAGCCCAGCTCCAGATTACCCACTCGAGGATATAATTTTACAACGATTTACCGTACAAACCTTTACTAACAGCAGTTCAACCTTGCTAACAGGACGCGTTAGCAATTGTATTGCGTTATAATCCTGAATCGAATCGATTCGGTGAACGATCGGTTCTCGAAGTTACCTCGCTCTCTACATCGGTGAATTATTATTTAATTACACTTCTGGAATTTCGAGCGAGCACGCTAACGAGCGAGTGCGTTAACGAGCAAGGAATGTTACTATGGAATTCCCGAAGAGGTCGATCGAGCATTAAATGTTGCCGACTGACGACTTTAAATCGTGATGGAAATCGAAACACGTGACGAGAGATGAATAATTTGTTTATCAGTCCTCGAAGTCTCTCTCTTGCCACGATATTCGGTGGAATAAGAAGCCACTTCGTGAATTCTCAGGAAATTCATTTACGCGACGATGAGACCACTTTTCTGAAGTGGTAATCTTTTAATTTCTTTTATATAACCCGTACGTCGTGAGATCTCTGAGACATTAATTGTGTCTGAAATATATTTTCCAATTGGCAAGCGAAGTACTCTCACTTTAATTACAAGAATTCAATTATTCACCGTTTAAACAAAACGACGTTTCGATATAACGTTTGATAATAATTAATGATACAATTCGATTCTTGATTAATAATGATCAATCTCTTTTATTCTATGTAAATTCCATTATCTTCGCAAGAAACCATTTCTGTTACAAGCTCGGTTCTCCAAGATAATATATTATTTAGAGTTCTTAGAAGTGATAGATGATAGATCGACAAATCAGACTCTGAACTGCGTACAGGGAATGAACAAAAGTGATCCGATGATTAATGATGCCAATCATGTGAGTTTGGGCGTACACGCCCTAATGAACCCACGTAGGATGTTCTCGAGGAGGGTAGCGAGTAGAAGGATTACGTACTGCGAGAACGCGTAAGCAGTGGCAACTCATGTTACTTCCGCGAATACATCGATTGCTTTAAACCCCTGGCATTAAGGATCCTTTGCAATCGGGCTAACGATCGTTAATTCCTAATTTCGCGGAAGCTACCACTACCGCGATTAATTTGATACATTAACGTTCTCCTGTGATAAAAGTTAGAAAAACTGGAATCGGAGATTCGTTTCTTTGGCCTCGAATTTGAATTGATATCAATTTTTTATATTATAAATGTAATGACAAATACTCACGTTCTGTTCAAATTCGAGTCTAAAAGATTGATGATAAATGGAAGAGATTCGAGTCTCTGTTTCTTGTTTCACGTGATACGTTCCAGAAAAAATGGAGAACGAAAGTGACACGTGTATGCACTCGTTACATCGTTCTTTGAAGGAGGGCCGCGTGGATAGAGCACGGACACGCGCGGTTGCATGTGTCCACATATGATGTAGGTACACGGAGATAGCGGTACCAACCAATAGCCAGGTGACTACCACTTTAAGGTTAACCTTTCGCGGTCCTGTGTCGACCCGACGACACACTTTACCCCTGAATAGCTTTACTTCGAACCGTGAAACGAAAATCGCGACGGTAGAAAAAAGTGACATACGTGGGTGTCTCTTGTGCCTCTTGAAATGTTCACCGCGTTGAACTGTCGTAACATTTTCGACTCTTCCTCAGTAGATTTCAATTCAAGGAATTGACACCTAATTTACGTTTATCGAAAATTTAATTAGATTGTAATTACTGTTTGCGACTGTGTTGCATGAGGTAGCTTGCATCTAATTAAGTAATCAACGACAGGTTTTATTATTCTTCTTTGCGAACTCAGTTTTTACAGTTTAATAAAACAGATATTTGCTGTCGAGCGTTTTTTTTATTAAGTGCAATTAATTAAATTTGCTTGCAGTTCAATATTTTACTGACAAGCCTGGTGGCTATGTTGTAAGTGGACGAATGAAATTTATTTAGTATTTAGTTTCGATTGAATTGTTCAAATATACTCATTTTATGGAATACAGGGAATTTAATATATTTTTGTTACATGAATTTTGAAAGATCGCTTATTCTTATATTACAGGATAAGAGAGTTATTTAGATTGAATTATAAATTGATGAAGAAATTTTGCATATCGCGAAACATAGTCAAACTGAACGGATTTTTTTTTACGAAATATATATAATTTTGACAAATTAGATGATTATAAATTGATGTATCTGTTTCGTATACAAGTTTGGTTTGATTAAGCAATTAGTATTTTATGCAAGTAGTAGTTACCCGTGCACGAGAGAAAAGGTTTTCTAGAGAGAAACAAGAAGTTCGCAGAGGGACGGGGGAATCTGGCAGGAATTTTAATTGGTTCGATAAAACCTAGTCGACCCTCGATGGCCCGTGTAAGGAGATATTTCGAGCGAGCGGAATGTTATACACAGAACAACGGTTGCTTCGTACAGAATCGATCAGATTGGTGCCGTTTATTCGTGCCGCGAAAACACCCTCCTTGACCATTGAAACGAAATACGTCTACGTACGAATACCACCGACGGTTAACCCGGAACAAATTGCCCGATTTTCCGGTCTTTATTTATCTTGAAAACGTTGGACAATGTTTGTTGTCAAATTGAATTCGTGGCGAAATATTGAATACGTTATTGACGTGCACGCTGCTCTAGGTTCGAGAAGGAAAAACGATCGTATTGAAATATTGGTCAATACTGAATTTTTTATTCCCTTTTAAAGATCAACATCACGTTTTATTGTTACAATTTTTCATTTGCAATCGAAAGATCACAAAATTGTTTACAAAAAATTGGACTAAGGGATGATGAGAAAGTCAGTTTTAAACTTATTAAAATGTAGTAAATCTGGAAATGAATGCGAAACGTAAAAAAGACTGATTTAATACTGTTACATAAATCTTCGATTTGTCCTGGCGATTTTTTCAAAACTTGGAGTGCTGACTTTTGTAAAATATTTATTTAGGTCGAGCCTGCAATGGAGGATCGAAAACCGGAGAACGAGGAGAATGAACAGACATTTTTTCACGAAGGGAAATATTATAATTGATTTGGAACCTGTTTTATTATGATAAAATAATGTCACTGTAGAATTTTAAACTGAACTTCGTGATTCTGCCAATTTATTTAAATTGCTTCAGATTTTATATTTCCATGTATGAAATATGGTTGCAAGAGAGTTAACGAGTTCTAAGCTGCTCAGAGACGAAGTTTGATAAAATACTGAACGATCTCAAATCTCTATAGAAGTTCGTTAACCAGGGAGAAATCCTTCGTTACTGGAAAAGGATTTACTATTTTTGTTCGCGTATTTCAATTATTCCTGCTACCAGCAACTGATGTACGTAGCACAAAACTGAATTCAGATTTTTTCACGTATATTATTCAAATTAATTTCTGATTAAACAGATCATTTAATTTATTAATTAACATGGACACATGATACATTTACAAAAGGATAAAGGAAGATAATACAAACAGAGGCGATTATTGCTCCATTTTTATGGCCAAAAATCGATATCAATTCTCGGTCATTTTTTTTTATAAGCAAATTGAAAATCCTATCGTAAAAATCGCATTTACCTTTATACTGAAACAAGCGACTCGAATTGAATCCTTTGAGGAAACCAATATCCCAGTCGAAACGCGTATTCATAATCGCCTATGAAATATTTATGGAGTCGCTGCAAAAATATGGAAAGTGTTTCCCCTCTACCGCGCGGGACTTCCTCTTCTGCCTGTTTATCGGGGATAGCCGAAGAAAATAATGCGGGGAGAATTCGGTTTCGAGGAGAATATCGTGGGCAAAGGGCTCGAACCTGACGTAGATAGACGCCAAACATGTCAGAATCGGTGAAGGAATTGAAAACCTGTGTACAGCGAGTGCCAAAAGTAAAAGCGCACGATTTTGAGACAAAATTTATTCAGGAATTTTTATCTATGAATTACAATTATAAAAAAATAGAAATAGAAAAGGAATAATTTATATTATATCAGATTTACGAAATCAACCAATCTGTTATATTTATTTATACTCTGTTATTTGACGTCATTGGTAATTATCAAAAATTTGCAAACAGTTTTGCATAACACTGTTTTCTTATAAATGATCTTTAATGTTATTAAGATTTTTGTAATGCGGATTGTACAGTCACGTACTAGTGAATCCTTTATTTCCTTATTTCGCTCTTTCCTTCGCCATCTGCTTCGTATTTCGAGGATTACATTGACGCGACGTTCCTACCGTTTTCCTTTTACTTTCATCCAAGAAAAGCGAACCAACTTTTATGTGCACGCGTGTTCCGCGTATCGAGCAGCTTTGTTTCCTGATACGAACGAAAGCCTTTCCTTGGTTTCCTTAATACGAGAGCAGATGCCATTGAACAGAACTTATATTCCTTTCTTGCTACTTTCGAACTTACTAGTGTATTTTGTTTATATTTGTTTTAGTGTTAGCAACGTATTGATTATATTTTATATTAGGTGTTTGACAATAATGACTATGGATTATTCTGTAAACCATTGAATTAAATCAACTTTTT